GAGAGAGAGAGAGAGAGAGAGAGAGAGAGAGAGAGAGAGTCTTTGTTTAGGTATACCCATAAACTGTCTTGTTGGTAGATTTTTTAGCACTAAGTATATTGAGAGTGATTCACCATATTTAATGTAAGTCTCTGTGTTTGAGTTAAGTGAGAGACCATAGCATCTGTTTGTTTATTCATTTTCCTACATATGCATCTAGTCCACCTCTTTTTCTTGTTGAATTCACTGCGATAAAATTGGAGTTTGCAAGATCTTTGGAACAAAGTCTGATCATGGGAACTTGAAAGTAATTAAAATATTCCAAGGAAAATGTGAGAATCATGAATAGTGATACAAACAGACAAAACTGATTAGTATATTTGTGATATGCCTACAACCAGAAATGCATGTTCAGTACTGAAAGAAAGAGCACACAGCTTGATCCTATACATCAAGTCCTATTGTAAGTCCTATTGAGTTCAGTGAGACTTACTCTTCAGTAAGTGAACATACGGTTGCATTGGTAGGAAAATAGTTGCAGATGCCCATTTAGTCAAAATGTGTGCACTGCTGTTTTGACTTCATTTTCAGTAAAACTCTAGATTTCCCAATGTAAATTAAATATATTGTGCACAAAAAAATTCAATTATAATTCTCTAGAAACGTTTACATATGTGTGCGTGCTTGTGTCACCTTCTTTTGACTCCTATAAGAGATTCCCTGTGTACCAGATATCCTGTTGAAGGAGCTAGAGATTAATGGAGAAAAATCAGCTACTCTTCCAATAGTAGTTGTTGCTTCCTCAAGGGACCTGGAGCGCAGGAGCAGTGACAGCAGTGGGGAGCAGCTGTCATTCTTTCAGTGTCCTGGTCTTCCATGACAGTGCTTTCTGTTAAGGAATTTTGAATGGTAGAATGAATACTTCTGTAGATTTGCAATACTGTTGTGGGGTGATACCTGGAAGGCAAGAACCCAGAATAATCTCCACAGTAATGTGCTGGTATATACAGAGGATGTGGACAATGCAGAAGTCTTCTCCTGCTGAATAGCTCTAAAAATGCTGGCCAAGACACTGAGACTAAGTATGACACTTACGGTGTTATAGCACTCGTGAACAGGCATATATTTTTTACTTGTAAGTAAGGAGAGGAGAAGGATGGGAGAGGAATGCTGACATTTGTAAATCAAGTTATTTGTTTGCACAATATCGGTTTTCTTAATCCTATATTACTAACCTGCATTCTTATTTCTGTAGTGTTAACCTGGTTAGAGGTATCCTGGACTATAGGGTTCTTATTGAGCCTCTTTTATTTTATGGTGTGCTACCATAACATTTCTAAAATCAGTTGGGCTAATTGTTTGGTTGGAGTGATTTTAGGATGTGTTTGAGAAAAGGTTCTTGTTGCAACTGAGTTTTATTAGTTGGGTGCATATCCTAACTGTAACTTTAAGAAAATACATCAACCCTGCAATCTATACTTACATGAGGATTCCAGCAAATCAGTGGGACTTATGCCTGAGTAGATATGTATGGAAGTGCTGTATATAGGGGATTTAACCCAATAAATAAATGTAGTCCCTCCAAAAAATGCATTGGTTTTGCCTAAGCTGATGAACAGAGATGGTCATGGTTTGTTAAAGTAGCAATTGAAGACTCTGAAGCATAGACAGACTGTATCTAACTTTGTAGACATATGCAAGTCATATTCATCTTAGAGTAGGTCCTGTTGAATTCATTGTGACTTAATTGCCAAGCAAATATGCTTAGGATTGAGCGCTGTGCCACATTATTCATGCTGTCTTGAATTTTAGGGCTGATAGTTTGCGTTCACGCAAACAGCCACATTAGATTTCTGTATGAGCCATGCTTTCAGCTTAAGTGCTTTTTAATACAATTGGTATCTATATTCATGTCCAGCTTGTTGAAATTTAAGTGACTGAACTCTGGATTATAAAGACCTGGGCTGGTTGCGCTATATACATAATTGTCTCTACTATGCTAATTTCTAAACTCAGTCATACCTGTGATACAACATATTTCAGAAAGATTTTCACACATGCAGCATTTCAGCCTAATCCTATAAGATCAAACTCTTAAGGCATAAGCAGATCTAAAAGATACAAGCAGCATTGGCAATTGTTGATCTAAGGTATTGTATGCATGTATACATGCTTGTTTTGTGTACCAGGCTAAGTACCTGATGTAGATGTTTTCCAAAATTGTATAGATCATGATGAGACTATACAAGTATGTAAAGGTATTCACATGCCTGAATAGGCAGCCATGAAAAACACTGTAGGACTTGTTGTTATTAGTCCCGAAGTTGTGCCCAACCCATCACAACCCCATGGACAACATTCCTCTAGGCTCTCCTGCCCTTCACCATTCCTTGGAATCCACCCAAGCTACTGTAGGACTCCAGCTTGACATATTTTCTTAAAGTTACCTGGGCTTTTGAGAAATTATGTGTGATAAGGCAACAGAGGGCAGAAGGGGCAAAGATAAGTATTATCAAGCTATTTCTTGGAATCAGAAATAGCTTTTTGTGGCTAGCACAGCTGCATCTCTGGCCTTTTAAGAGCATAAGAGGCTACCCTGTGGCATGCTTTCTAGTGAGGAATGAGGGTGGGAATTACTCTTTTGACCTAAAGAATGTATTGCACTGAGGGAAAAGTGTTGTAGTCTGTGTCTAAGGCCTGAACAATTAGTTAGAATATTGTTTCGGGATGTATGTTCTGTTGGATTTACACCTGATAATAAATGCTTTGCATATTCAGGCAGAACTTTAACTCTGAAAAGTCCCCAAACAGTAACTTTTGAAAAGCCTTGGAACAAGAGCCATCCAGAATAGACTAGAGGATTTAGCAGGATCATGATTGGGAAAATATTTCAAGGCAGGAAGCTTAAATCGAACCAGTCTCCAGGAGGCAGGAAGGCAGTCCAATTGGCTTTCAGCATGAAAGAAGAATAAAAGCCAGGACTGAGGGTTGACAAGGTCATAGCTAGTAGACTGTTCAGAGGAAACTGGAGCAGGAACTATGGAATGAGTAAAACTATAGTTGGAGACAGTCCACAGGGGGATAGCAGGCAGAGAAGCCTGAGAAAGAGAAAGTAAGATCAGGTGAAAATCTGTCAAGGCAAAGACTTGGTTCAGCCTTTGGAGGCATAATCCATAGCTAAGTTAGGACCAAGGATTCAGGTTCAAAACTGCCACCCTAGAATTTTGTTTTCTTCTCTTGTGGTAGTTGATCTAAGGCATATGCTTTGTTGTAGTGTTCATAGATAACAAGAGACCCGATTAGAATGACAGACTTTTGAGGGCAAAAATGACTCATACTTCTGGCAAGAATGTTTCATAGTAACACCTACATCTTGTTAAAATTGGCAGTTGGCTATGAAAAGCTGTTTTATACCATGTTTTTCTTTTCAACCCAAGCAAAATTCAACTTACGTAATTCAAATAGAGGTTGGATCTGCCATTGTTTTCAGGAGGAAAACCTAAACTTACTTAGGTTTCAGTTGTGAACACACTTGTCAAAAGGCACTTAACACCATAAATGAAATATTCTTTAATATATTTACTTGACTGATCCCCAATCTTAATACATAAATAAATCATTTAGCCATAATATTTAGCCATTAGTCTATGCTAAATTTTTAGGGAGTGTGCTAGAACTGTTTTCTATAATATATACTTATAACATGATTATTTTGCTCTTCTCTCCCAAAATAGCATGCTATGGAATTGTACAGGTACCCACTGGACCTTGGTTTTGTAGAAAATGTGAGTCTCAGGAAAGAGCTGCTAGAGTGGTAAGTTCAAGATAGTGTATGATACTTTCATGCATGTTTTTAAATAATGTTTTGGTGCTTGGTAGCATTGCTCAAAAAATTTTTCTTTAGCAGGGGTGAAAAGTTCTCATTTACCAGTTAATAATAGATGTAAAACAGCTGGAGGTCTGAAGGAACCCAGGTTTCTTTTCTTTGCCTGGATTTTTTCATCTAGTTTTAACATACCTGGAAGTGCAGTGATAACAGGTAGGGCTTTGATCATTGCCCAGAGACTTAACAGCTATCTTACTACATGCTCCATAGCTGTATTCCTCACCCTTTGCCACACAGGATGCTCAATGAGCTTATGGGAGATGTCATTATTCAGTTTGTCCTTCTGTCATAGGGTCACAAAGAAGCTAGACATCAAAGTACTCTTTCACCAATTTGGAAACATGGTGAATTTCTGTTGTAGCACATTTTGTGGAAAACCTGACATAGGCAAATCTGGTTGACTTTGCACACTGCTTGAAATTCTCTGGCTTTGATATGTGAATTGCTCTGGAGTACTGATACTGATTTTAGAGGATTCTGACTCTAGACTTTGCAACTGCTGATAATATGTTTAAATAATGCTTTATTGGAAATGCTGTAAAAAGAACGTTTATTTGAAGTTGAATATTGTAATCAGACTTAAAATACTGAGAAAAGAGATGCGATCAATTAGGAAGTCTTCTAAAAGAAGCTAAAGGCAACTTAATGGTGGAATTTAATGAGGCTATTTGTAACCCTCTGAACTCAGGGTTTTGGGCATCCTATGCAGGGTGAAAGGTACATGGAGGCAAAGCCTGCCTCCACACTTCTCCACACTGTCTAATTTCATCAATCATAGTATTTTGCCTGAGAGCATGAGAAGAGGCTGAGGTGCCACCAGGATAGTATAAATGCTGGGGGCATCTGTCCCCTCCCCCCCTCCCCAGGAAGGCTCATAAAGTTAAGTCTACAAGGTTGCTGTTATGACCTTGGGGCCACAGCCAGGATGGTTCTTTCCATGATGGCTAAGCGGGAGAGTGCTCCAACTTTGGTGTTTCAACTTTCAAGAGCAAGTTCCTGAGTTGGGAGTCCAAATACTCTTATGGCTATCTAGACTCTTAGTGGCCATAGGATTGTGCCCTATGGCTGTCTACATTGATGGTAGATTAGAGCCTGAGAGTGTCTTCAAAAATGCAGCACTGATCTATCATTATTTTGAGGCAATAAAATGGTCACTAAGTTTTTGCATTTGCTTTTGCATGCCATTCTTAGCCAAGGCTTAACTTGTTAGGCATTAGTAGAAACAAGTCTTGGCAAGCCTTGTGCTTATGTGCGCCTTCATGAGCAACCAGGAGGAAGAATTCAGAAACTTAATTTTAGTATTCCTTTAAATGTAATTTGTATAATCTAGAGCAACATAAGCTACCTTTGAAATAAGCCAAGATTTAAAATGTGGTTTCTGAAGCTGGCTTTTTAAAAAACTTTAGTTAATGTCAACCACAGTTCTTAAGGAGCTCTGACTTTGTGAACTTCTCCTCTTCACTGCATGACGGAAGAGGAGAGATGTTCCTTAGCTCAAAGTACCTCATTCTTGCATGCACATTAACATGATGTGTGAAAGTAGTTGTAAGTCACTGCTAAAAGATTTACCGTTAATCTTCAACATTTAGACCACTTTTGCTGTTGAATTCAAAGACAGGGATTTCCCTATGTAACTTCTTTTCATGACACCAATATGGCTGTTTGGAGGGTGTGTAAATAGTGTTTTTTCTTTTGGCTTTGCTGAAGTCTTTCACAGTTCTACACTTTGACAGGTAATGCATCAGACTACATTGGCCAGATTCACTTAATGGAATAGTTTAATAAAAGATGAGAGAGAACTGAATGGGCCACCCTTGTTGTATTATTCTAGGCAACAGTGGTCTGTACAGAGACTTTGGGTTGGGTTCTGGCTTCCTTAAAGCAGTCAGTGATCAGACTCATCTTGAAGAAGGTGAACCTGGATCCAGAGATCGCCACAATTATAGACTGGTGGCTGATATCTTGTTCTTGGGCACAGTGCTCGAGTGGGTGGTGGTCAGACAACTCCAAGCTTTTTTGGAGGAAACTGACCATCTGGACCCATTCCAGTCTGGTTTCAGGCCTGGTTTTGGAACTGAAACTGCCTTGGTCACCCTGTATGATGACCTGTGCCAGGAGAGGGGCAGGGGGAGTATGTCCCTGTTGGTTCTCCTGGACCTTTCAGAGGTTTTTGATACCATTGGCCATGGTATCCTTCTGGATAGGCTGGCTGTGTTTGGGATTGGAGGCACTGCCCTGCTGTGGTTCCACTCCTACTTGACTGGCCAATTCCAGAAGGTGGTCCTGGGGGATTATGGCTCTGCGCCATGATGGTTATACCGTGGAGTTCTTCAGCGTTCCATGTTAACCCCCCATGCTGTTTAGTATCTACATGAAACTCCTGGGAGAGGTCATTCGGAGGTTTGGGCTGAGGAGTCATCAGTATGCTGATGATACTCAGCTCTACCTTTCTTTTTCATTTAATCCAAATGAGTCAATGGCCTTCTTAAACAGTGCTCAATGCTCATCTAGCATGATGAGCTGGATGAGGGTCAATAAATTGAGACTTAATCCAGATAAGACAGAGGTCCCCTTGGTAGGTGGTTCAACTTTTCGGGTAAGTGACTTTCACCCTGTTCTGGCTGGAGTTGTGTTCCCCCTAATGGGCAGGGTGTGTAGTTTGGGAGTGCTCCTCAACCCAGAGTTATCCTTGGAGTTCCAAATGACTGCTGTGGCGAGGAGCACTCTACACCAGTTTTGTCTGGTCCAACAACTACATCCTTACTTGGATGTGCAGAGCCTAGCAACAATGACCCATGCACACTGGTAACCTCCTGATTGGACTATTGTAATGCACTCTACATGGGGCTGCTCTTGAGGATGGTCTGGTCAGTTGGTCCAGAACAGAGCAATCAGACCTTTGACAGAGACCAGTAGGCATGAGCACATAACACTGGTTCTTTACCCATCTGCACTGGCTACCAGTTGAACTCTGGGCCCAATTTACGGTGTTAATGATGACCTATAAAACCCTAAGTGGTTTAGGGCCAAGGTATCTGAAGAAACATCTCCTTCTACACCTGCCCACCCCTAAGATCTAGGTTGGAGGTTTTGTTGAAGGAGTGGCTATCTGGAGAAGGGCCTTTTCTGTGGTGGTGCTCCAGCTTTGGAACGTGCTGTTCAGAGCATGTTCATGCTCATGGCACCAACTGTGTTCATTTCAGCATCAGGCCAAAACCATTTTCCCCCTGGTATTTTAAGTTCTGATTATGGTTTTAATATTGGTTTTTATTAGATTTATGCTTTAATATATGCTGCCTTTTGTTGTGTGTATTGCCGTCCTGAGACCCCCATAAAGGACGAGGTTAAAATGCAATCAATCAATAAATGAATAAGGTAATGAAAGTTTAATTTTATTGGCAGTGGTAACTGTTTTCAGTGCGCTATTAGGTATTTCTATAAGTGTTTTAGTGTTCCTGTGAAGTATTTGGCCTTGCACTGGCTTTAGAATTTCATATGCCTGGGTGGAAATTCATTCCATCTTGATACTGGCACATTATTCTCTAGTGAGTTAGAGATTGTTGAAGTGGGGACTGTATATTTTTATCTGAATAAATTTTATCCTGTCCATTTTTACACCTATACATGGCAGTTTTATCTCTTTCCCCAATTCTTTTAGGAGAATTTGCTATTTAGGGTGGTTAAAAGAAAACAGGATTGTGAAGAGCTTCAAAGGAATCTCTTGAAGATAGGAGAGTGGACATCAAATGGCAAATGCAGTTCAGTGTAAGCAAATATAAAATAATGTATGTCAGGTAAAAAAAATCCCAACTTTTAGTATAACTGATAGGATCTGAACTACTGGCAACTGACCAAGAAAGGAATTTTGGGTTGTGGTTGACAGCTCCATGAAAATGGAAACTTAGTGCATGGTTGCTGTGGAAAAGGCAAACACCATATTGAGCATAATTTGGAAAGGAACTGATAAAACTAACAAGTTTACACTTTCCTTATAAAACTCTACGGTACAGCTGCACTTAGAATATTGTGTACAGATCACCACACCTAAAAAAGGGCATTGTAGAGTTGGAAAAGTGCAGAGAAAGACAGCTAAAATGATAAGTTGGTTGGGGTAACTGCTATGAGGGAAGGTTATAGCAGGTGAAATTTAGCTTAGAAAAAAGGGAAGGAATGCGAGGCATGTCAGAGGTATTTAAAATGATGCATTGTGTGGAGAAGGTGGAAAAGAAGACATTTTTCTCCTTTTCCCACAATACTAGACTCGGGGGTTATCTGATAAAAGGAAGTACTTCTTCTCAAAGTGTCTAGATAAACTATGGTATTCAATTCCATGAGATGTAGTGATGGCTACCAGTTTGGATGCTTTAAAAAGGGATTGGATAAATGCATGGAAGAGATGGTTATCAATTGCTACAAGTCTTGATAGTTTGTGCTGCTTCTGATAACAGAAACAGTATGTTTGTGTATGCCAGTTGCTGGGGAACTTGGGCAGGAGAGGACTTTTGTATACATATCAGGCTTGTAGAAGGCTGGCTTACCACTGTGTGAACAGAGTGCTGGATTAGATGGACCCTACATCTTATCCAGCATGGCATTTCTCAAGTTTTTAATTTCAGTGGTTCCTTATTCATGAAATGATGAAACAAGCAATGTGGCTAGTTAGTAACATTATAAATTTAGAACCTGTGACATACAAACTGCTTTTTCCACATATTCAGTGGTCTTTCAATGCATCTCTTAAACCAGACAGATACTTTTAGGAGGGAGAAATATCTGTTCATTGGAGGTTGTGGGGAGAGCCATTAGGAAGGCAGCAACCTTATTTCTGATTCTGTTTTTGTTTTGATGAGTGGTTTTATTTTTGGAGTACCTCTTTAAGGTTTCTTAAAGCTTGCTTTAGATAGATATAGTCTAGTGTGCACTCTTTC